GTTAAATCTTGCAAGTTCTTCTTTAAAAGTTTTATTTTTTCAGTTTTTCTGAAACTGTTTCAGTTTTTCCGATCTTTCCTGGAAAATTTTAACTCCCTCATGACCCCGGCCTGCCTTATGTTCCGCAGCGACCACGAGTACGAGCCGATATCGCCGCCACCCCAGCAGACGCAGGGGCCGCCGGCCGTGCACGTGACGAACATCGAAGGGATCACGATTCAGGAGCCCCCCGAGGGCCCCGACGCCGAGCCCATCATGTCCGACAACGACTCCGTCGGCTCGCCAGTGCGCAAGCCCCTGGACGAGATGCCCGTGCCGCACGACGGCGACGATGAGGACCGGGCCATGTCCGGCGGAGAGATGGGCGACACGAACGGCAGCCTCGGAGGACCCGAGGACGACGTAAGTAGTACCGAACTTTCTCGCTAACATGCAAAAGACTGTGCAGGAATGTAGAAAACAAATTCATAAAGATTTAGATGTTAGGACCAATTCACAAACATCTGAGTTGGTTCTCTCGAGTAGCGGCAGCGGTATTCACATTTAGCATTGGTGTTTCCAGGTGGAACATGAACAGGACGACGAGTTTATGACGGCAGCGCAGATGCAGCAACAGATGGAGGACCGCTACTTCGCCGCGCCCACGCCCACCACGATGCGCACCGAGTCCCGGACGACGGACGGCGAGTTCAACACGAGCAACGTGGACTCGTCCGGCCTGGAGGACCTGCCGCTGACCAAGGAGGGCCGCAAGAACAAGGGCAAGGGGCGCTTCCTGGCGGGCGGCGCGCGCACCGGCGCCAAGGGGGCGGGCCGCTGGGGGCGGCTCGGGGGCGGCGCCGCCTCCTCGTCCACCAAGTCCACGGCCGGCGGCAGCAGCGGCTCGCAGGTTGATGGCACCACCCCCGAGACCATTCAGCAGCGGCTGCGCTCCGGAGCCGACCGGCTCAAGACGCGGCTGTCGGGCATCAGCCGGCCCAAGATGCCGGCCGTGCGCAGGCCCAAGTTCACCATGCCGGACAAGGCCAAGTTCCACCTGCCGGACCGGCCGAAGTTCAAAATGCCAGAGCGGCCGAAGTTTAAGATGCCCGAGCGCCCTAAGATCCACCTGCCCAGCCTCCCCAGCCTGGGGCGGGGAAGCAGCGCAGCCTCGGCTGCCGCGGCCGCGGAACAGGCAGCTCCGGAGGACCCCGCGGCGTCGGCGTCGGCGGGGCAGCAGACGCCGACCCCCAAGAAGCAGACCGCGAGCAGCAAGCGGCCGCTCAAGGGCAGGCAGTACAGCACCGAGTCCACGGCGGGCTCCTCGGAGAAGCGCCGCCCGCTCTTCGACCTCAATACGTTCCGGACGTACCCGCGCATGTTCCGGCGGAACCGGGCGGATCGCGCCAGCGGCGGCGACTCGTCGTCCTCGCCCCGGTCGGCGCGCTCCACGCGGCGGCCCATGACGCCGCCCGCGCGCTCCAGCTTCAGCAGCGACACCGCCAAGTGGATGCGGCGCTTCTCCGACGCCAAGTTCGGCGCGGGCGACCCCGTGGTGGCCGCCATCAACTACGCCGACCACCACCACACGCCGCCCCCCCTCAACTCTCAGGAGAGCGTGGACCAGCAGCAGCAGCAGCAGCAGCAGCAGCAGCAACAACAACAGCAGCAGGAGGAGCGACAGCAACAGCGGCGGCAGCAGCCTGCGCACCTCGCGCCCACCGGCAACGGCGAGCAGATGGTCTACCACATCTCTCTGCACGGCTCGGACTCGGAGCCCGACTACAGCGACGACCAGTTCCAGGGGCCTCCCTATCCGGAAGTCCTCCCCATCGACGGCGACCTCGAGATCGTGGACCACGCGGCGCGCAAGGCGCTCGCCGAGGCCAAGGCCGCCGCCGAGAGGGAGGTGGCCTTCCAGGCCCAGCTCAAGGCGGAGCGCGAGGCGGAGGAGTCGGCCGCTCAGATGTAAGTCCAACGGCAGGCTGAGGGTAGGCCGCCGGGGCCGCGCCGCGCACCGCTGCGCAGCGGGTTGCCTACTGCGCCTCTGGCGGGCGCTGGAGGGTCGCCGCGATACTAACTCACTTTCTCTTGTGCGCAGGGCCGAGTACCGCCGCCAGGCGCAGCGGCAGCAGCAGCAGGGCCGCAGCCCGCGCCCCACGCGCTACGCGGACATGGAGGCGGACGAGTACAGCCAGGACCAGGACCTCAGCCAGGAGCAGGACGCCGGCGACTCGGACCGCGAGAACCGCTCGTCGGGGACGTCGTCGGAGCGCCACCGCCGGGGCGTCATTGAGGAGATCGACTCGGACGAGTTCTTCCTGAGGCAGAAGGGCATCAGCCAGGAGGACGTGGACGTCGGCCGCTACATCAACTCCGAGATCCGCGAGGCGCTGCGGCCCTCCGCCGACTACATGGACGACGAGGACGACGTCGCCCCCAGCCCGCCGCCGCCACGAACAAAGCGCGGCGCCGGCGAGTCCAAGTCTCTGGCGCGCGGCCGAAAGAAGAAGCAGGGCAAGATATACGTCCCGGCGCGCGTACCCCAGGCGACACCGCCCCGGGACGAGGCCGAGGAGGACTGGGACGAGGACGAGCAGCAGGAGCGGACCGACGACAGCTACTTCAACACGTTCCCGCCAGACCGACCGGCCAGGCGGCGGCGAGGCAAGAAGCAGCCTGCCGCCACCCCGCTGCCCCCCGAGGACAGCCAGTTCGACGACGAGGACCGGCAGATCCAGGACGACATCGAGTTCAGCGTGGCCATCCAACGCGAGGACCTCGGCATCCTAGCGCTCACGCCGGCCGCCGACGAGGACGCGTCGCGCCAGCTGCCGCCGCTGCCACCGAAGCGGCTGCGCAAGTCCAGGTCGTCCAACCTCAACGTCAACGACGACGTGCCCATGATAGATGACGAAGAAGAGTGGCGGCCGGTGACGCACGACGAGGTGAGCAGCAGAGAACAATTTAATTTACCGGGTAGAGTCAAGCTAACACTACTTGTACTGCGTGATTCTTGATTTTATTCACATCATTAATGAAAATCCTTTTCCAGATGATCGCTCTGCAGCAAGAGGCAGACTACATCATCCCGCGCGCGGCGCCCGAGCACCACTTCCCGCCGACGCCGCAGACGCCGCCGGTGCCCCCGACGCGCGGCCGCAAGTCCCGCGGCGGCTCCCGCGCAGGCTCGCGCGCCGGCTCGCGCGGCACGTCGCTGGCCGACGAGGACCGCACCTCGCGGGGCGCCGAGTCGCTGCCGTCGGAGCGCGGCGACGACGACTCGATGCTGCCCGACGACGGCGTGCACACGCACAACGAGGACGACATGCTGGCGCGCCTCAACGACGACTACGCCTTCGTCGACAAGTCGTCGCTGCCGCGCGGGGTGGCGCCGCCCAAGCCGGAGCGGCCGCGACGGCCCAAACCACCCCGGCCGCCGGCGCCGGGACGCCGCGCCAAGCGCGCCCCTCTCCAGGCCACCGCGAGCCGCCTGCAGAACTGGCGCCAGTTCTTCTCGCTGCCGACGCGGCGCAGCGGCAAGCAGGCCGCCAAGCAGCAGGCCAAGGAGGCCCCCGTGCGGCCCGTGAGGAACTACAGCACGCTGGGCCCCGCGCGGCCGCCCCGCCGCGGCAGCCAGGGCAGCAGGCACGCGTACACGGCCAACTACCTCGAGATACAGAACGACGACCAGCTCAAGAGCGAGATGGACCTGGAGACGGAGAGCAGCAGGGCCGACCTGCAGTCCGGCGACGTCATCTCCAAGATGAAGGACCGGCCGCTGCCCGCGCCGCCGCGGCCCTCGCGCGCGCGCAAGCACCAGGACAAAGGGTGAGTACTCCGCATATATGCTAATTAATAACCCACGACATATTTTGATTTTCAAAGTTCTTTGAAAACTTTAAGATATTTAACGTAGCTTCAATTTGATTTTGCGAAAAAGTTTGAAAGTTTCCCAAAACTTTTGTGTGCTTTCTGAATGTTTGAAAAAAAAATTAAAAAATAGACACGACATTTTGTTGACACTTCTAATAAAATTCTCCTCTGCAGTGACTTTGGCGAGGAGGAGCTGTGCCAGGAGAGGATAGTCCCGGAGCACGACCGGTACCCGGACCCGGAGGCGGAGGCGTCGGAGGACTTCACGTACGCTGAGAGGAAGGCGGCCATGTCGCAGCTCCGGGACGACTTCTTCTCCAGGTCCGGAGAGGAGCCTCCCGGGCAGGAGTCGATACCAATCATCGTGACCACCGAGCCGCCCCCGGAGGGTGGCCAGGACGGCTCCGGGCAGGCAGAGCCCCTGCCCGACAGCCCGTACAAGAGCCTCCGGAAGAAGAAGAAGATTCCCCCTCTGCCACAACCGGAACCCGAGCCAGAACCAGAGGAGATGGAACAGCCGCGACCGGAAGAGGTGTCGATCGCGATCCAGACAGACCCCCTGCCCGACGACCTGTGCGTCGAGGATGCCATGACCGTCGCCGACGAGGCCACGACCAGCGCCAGCAAAACGTGGCCGACGGTGGTAGAACAGCACCAGCCGCAGATCGAGGAGGAGCGGCTGCAGCAGGACGCGCCGCCACCGCCGCCGCCCGCGAGGCGTCCGCGTCGCGACTCCCAAGAGCCCTCGGCCGTGCCCGCGGCACCGCCCGCATCAGTGCGGCTGGAAATGCCAGAGTCCGTGCAGACACAACGCCTGCAGGTGTCCGAGCTGGACGTGGACCGCCTAAGCGTGTCCGAGCTCCGCGCAAACAAGATCACCGTCTCGGAGATCGACGGCATGTCCTTGAGCGTCTCCGAGCTGCACAACAGATCGTCCGGAGGGCTGCAGCTGACCCCCGGCGAGCCCGGGAGCGTGGAGCTGCCCTCGGACCTGCTGCAGCAGCTGGTGCCGCTGTCGCAGTCCATGTCGCACGCGCTGTCGCAGTCTCTGTCCGAGTCGCTCGCGCAGAGTCTGTCCAGCGCGCTCTCCCAGATCCAGGAGGCGCTCTCCCAGCCCGCCGAGCTGGTGCAGCAACAACAGGTGCTGCAGCAGCAGCTCCAGCGCCTCCAGGAGCTCCAGAGCCAGCAGCAGCAACAACAGAACGAGCAGATCCAGCAGCAACAACAGTTCCAACAACAACAGCAACAGCTGGCGCAGGAGACGCTGCTGCACGTGGAGCAGCAGCACGCCGCGGTGCTCCACGAGCTCCAGTTGCAGCTGCAGCAGCTGCAGCTGAGCGCGGCCGCGGCTCCGCAGGCCGGCTCGGACGTGCCACCGCCCATCCCGCCACCCCCGCGCGTCGACGTCCAGACCATCCAGACCCAGACGTCCCTCGAGCAGCCCGGCGGCGTGTCGCCGTCACCCTCGGCGCCCGTGGCTCCCCCCCGCGGGGGCGTGCGGCCCCGCACCACCGCCAGCGCGGCCCTCGGCGACTCCGAGGAGGACGAGGAGGCGTCCCTGGCGCACTCCACGCACTCCCTGCCACGCCGCCGCCGGCCCCACCACGTCGCGCACAAGGCGCCACGGTACTCGTCCGACGACGAGGAGGCCCTCCAGCACCAGCACGCCGTCGCCCTGGCACCCCGGCGCCACCGCGCGCCCCTCCAGACGGCGCTTGCGCCACAGGCCGTGGACGGCGCGGCGGCCCCGACCCTGGGCGAGGCCGGCAGACAGCTGGCGCGCGCGTGCAGGGTGAGCGCGATCAACGCGCTGGCCGCGCTGCACCAGGCCATCCAGCCCGCCATGGACTCCGTCGGGCAGGCGGTCGGCGCCGACCCCAAGCGGCGAGACTTCCAGGCCGCACTCTGCCTCGTGCTCGTGCTCGTCACCGCCCTCATCCTGCTGGGCTGCGGCTGCACGGGCAGCACGGAGGTCCACCACCACCACTGGGACTTCCAGTTCCCACCAAAGCTCTAGTCAGCAGGGTTGAGAGCGGAGCTTTTCGCAGCTGTGATTGATTGTTGCGGGTTCGACTCCCGTCCAGGGCAAGGTTTGCATTGGATTTCAAAGCAGGCCCTACCTTTTATCTGGTGCTCAAATCTTGAGAAAGCAGACCATTTTTTTTCTCCTGTTATGAGATTTGTACAGCTACCAGTTTGTTTACGCATAATGATTAAGTTGAAGTGCCTCAAGGCAAGACAGGCTAATGGTAGGTCAAAACATGCTGGTACTTCTCAGTATTTACATCATGAATCTCTCTTGATGGTGGCAATGATCCTCCGCTCACTGGGAATATAAAATACCCTGTGCTGCCCATTGTGGATATTCAATGTCCTTCAAGTATCCAATCAGCATTGAGGACTTTTAACAGCTGTGAGGGATTTTAAGTCAATCTTTTTCCATTTTGCTATCTTTTCATCCTCCTGAAGGTATTTTTCTGTGTGCAACGATGGCGTGTTTGAACCATTTCCAATTTATTCCAAGAATGTCCATGTTCCCATGTCCTATAAAAATGTCGCCTTACGTTGAGGGGACTGCAACAAAGTCACTGTTGTCTTCGATTAGTAATAGGTATCTTGTAAGTATGGCGGAAGGTCCGGTGTGCAAAAGCACACTTTTCAGCCAATACAAAGATCATGGTGATCACAAGTTTGTTTTATGTGCCTAATTTTCTCTCTGGAGAATTCAATATTCTGTTTTTGTCAGTCTCTTCTTTTTGTAGCCCAGCAGATTTTTACTGCAGTGAACAATTAAAGTATCAGAAACTGATATTTTGTATGATCTGAATACAACAAACCAATAAATTGTTTTCTTCTCCAAT